ATATATATATATATATACAACAACACGTTCTTGCTCAAAACGCACTCACACAAAAACACAGAGACTAGATGCACGTAGGTAAATGGTTACACATATAATTTTGTATAGGCCCTCTATGGCCAAAGAGGTGAAGTGGGAGCAAAGGAGAATGGATCTATATATGCTGCCTCTCTCAGCGGAGGGTGTATAGCGCTCAAGGCGAGAGCGCGTGAATGGAGAAAAGCTCCCTCTCATATTGCAGGAGCCCACGAACTCAGACGAATTTACTTCGCCCTTTTGTTCCCTCGATATACGTATATAAATCATTGTTCGCTCATTTCCCTGTTCTTGTTGTAGTGGTTTCCTCGCCAACGCTCATAGAAGTCGTCGCAGCAGTACAGAGTAACAGCAGCGTGGCGCCTCACCACCCCCAACACCAACACACAGCCCCCTCACTACGGTCAAAGCGCCACTGGGGTTTAACGCAGCATGAGACCAGAGGGGAGAAGATGGCACTAGTGGTGACAATAATGAGGCTCAGTATGGAAAATTAAAAGAAAACGTCAGAATTTTTTTCTCATACATCTTTTATCAATACGATTGTTTATATCTCGTGGGTATTTATTTCTTGTTTAGACAGTTCTTGGCGTTGTTATTGTTGTTAATCCTCTTCTGGTTGTATGAACTCGTCCCATTTTTCCCTTTTTGCTAGCCCACTGGCTCCGAGAGAGGCGTCTTCCCCTGTTCCTCCCACCCGTCGTGTCTGTGTGCGCGCATGCGCTTTGTATGGAGAAGGGCAACACGTCACAATCGTTCAGGCAGAACGGCCCTATCAGCAATTGAGGAGAAGCACACGTAAACAACAGTACAAGGAGAAACAAACAAAGAAACAAACGAAACAAACCAAGCACACCAACAACAACGTCAGCAAGAAGAGAATCCATATATCAAGGGAAGGATATCAATTTAAAACTGGAACAAGGGAGGGAAGGAGGAAGGCACCAAACAAACAAACAAAAAATGGAATAAGAAGCCTACCAGGACAACGAACACATAAGAACGAGCTGTGTAGCAATCATACGTTAGTCGTCGTCATCGCTGCTTCATGGCGCGAGGGAAAAAAAAAAAAAGGTACCAGGTAGAAATGCCAAAGATAATAATAATAACAATAAAAGAGAAACGTGGGGGAAGGGAGAAACACCACACACAAGGAGTGTTCAGTTATCCTTCTCGCGTCTCCACTCCTTGTCTGGGCGAGCCCGTGTTATAGAGAAATAATGGTGTCGCACAATTGTCCTGCTACTCCACGTGACATAAAAGCCGATTGCATGGTCATCCTGCTGCTGTCGCCGCTTCCGTTGAGTAGCGAAGAGACACCACCGACAACGGCAATGCACAATTAGCCAATTGTAGTCCTCTCATTGTCGCTATTATTATCATCATCATCATCATCCGTAGTGAATTGTGCATTCTCACCTTCATCGCTGTTTGACAGGCCGTCGAATAGTGTACTAACCGTGCTTCCAATCATCACGCCGCTCATGCTGCTGTTCCTCAGCCTGAAGCTGCTGCTGCTGCTGTTGCTGTCACAGGCGTAGAAGGCGTGTGGGTTACATAGCCCTACTGCAGCGTCCTCTGGGTGGCACTCCTGCAGAAAGAATGGGTGCTGCAGCAGCTGCTCCGCTGTGGGGCGCTTGCGAGGATCTGGGTTCAGGCACTGCAACAGCATGTCCTGCAGAGTTGTAGAGATGGTAATGCCCCTGGAGCAAGACGAACCACTTGTGGGTGCCACAGTGTCAACAGGTGGTATAAACCGTTGGACTAACTTGGGGTGCTCCATGGTCTCTAAGAGAATGGCCGCGATGTTTAAGTCAGTACGCACAGGCGGTGCACCGCGCAGGAGTTGTAGAACCATGCAGCCAAAGGACCAGACATCTGCCGCGGTGCTATACGCGTCAGATGCACTCTGGAAGTGCATTATAACCTCTGGTGCAATAAATCCAGGAGTTCCGGATGGCAGTTCTCCAGTATGAAGCATTGGCAGATCCTGGTTGCCGTTTCTCCTGCTAGCGCTGCTGCTGCTGCTGCTGTTCTTCTTCTTGCCCACGTCTCGTGCACAGCCAAAGTCACCCACCTTCGCTATCGGGAGCCTGTGTGAGCCACATGCGTGCAACCCACAGCGTCCTTGCTCGTCAGTCCACGTCACCAAAATGTTTTCCGCCTTCAGGTCAAGATGCACAACATGCTTGGCGTGCATATACCGCAGGGCCTCAACCACAGGCTTCAGAAACCAGCGCAATGCCCGCTCACGCAAGATACCCCCTTTGTAGTGCTGGCGCACAAACGACGAGAGTGAGCCGCATGGCATGTACTCTGCGAAGAAACGGTAGACGATGTCCTTTGTGTCAGCAACAATGTCCGTGCTGTGCAGCTGCACGATGCTGGGGTGGCGTAATTGTCGCCAAAGACATGTCTCCTCATCGAGCGCCGCACACAATGCGACTCCATCAGGAGATGCAGTGGGGGATACCTTGGGCTTGTAGTCGGACGAACGCCGCAGCTCCGCGATGAGCTTGTGCACGGGAAGTGGCGCCTCGAGAGGCACCTCTACCGCCTTCACGGCGTAGAAGGCATCGCAACGTTTAACGTCCTCGCCGAGCCAGACGGACCCCTGACGGCCGCGGCCCAACAACTGGCGGGTGAGGCGGACGTCTGTTTGAGGTATCAACGCCTGCTGCTGTTGCTGCTGCTTTGGTTGCTGGATGCCAGCGCACGGATCCGTGGTGCTTCTCCTTTCGGATTTCAGTTGGCTCTCAGCAGACGTTGACGCTACTGCTGCTGGTGGTGGTGGTGGCAGTTTTCTTTCCTTTCCCATGGCGGCAGCTCCCACGCAGAGGTCTGAGACGCGACGAACAAACTCCGTCTTCCCTGCCTGGAAGAGGGGTGTGGCGCTGTCGTCAGGCATTAATGGGGCGTTTTGTGTCTCGGCATTGTATACCTGCCCTTCACACAAATGATGCGACCCCACGCTGAGCATATGGTGTATTAAACACTGTGATAAAAATCACAGGATGGTGTAGCGGGCGCGTGAGTGAGTGTGTGTCAATACAGCCAGCTCCGCTTCCTCGGACGCGTGCTGACTCTGATATAGTCTGACTCAATGCGTGAGCTGATACTTTTGCCGCCGGTAGGCAGTTGTGGTTGATTGGCTGTGGTGTTGGCGGTGGTGGTGTCGCTGCTGCCGTCGTAAAGGATGGCCGCACGTACACCTACGTCTCTCGTGTTACGGTCACACACGCACAACACAATTCTCACCTCCCACAAGCCGGTACGAAGCCAAGGAGGTACGTCAGTCCTTCGGCAAGTAGATGAGCTCGCTCTTTTTTTTTTGGTTCCGTTTTCCTTTTTTTCCTTCTCCACGCTACTTCACTACTCGCCTATATATATATATATATATATA